CCCCAAAACCCCAAAACCCCAAAACCCCAAAACCCCAAAACCCCTTTAACAATATTTTTAATTGAATTTTCTTAGAGGAAAGCGTAGAACTCATATTTTTCTAAACTTTCTTTTAGCTCAGCCAATTTCTGGTCTTGTCTTTGCTTATAAGCAATTGCGAGTTTCAGGTCATCTTCTACTTCGAGCAGTTCATTGAATCAGGTGATTGAAGGATACTCCAACACGTCATAAGGTGATTTGGATGTAGAATTTTTAGCAAATAGATCATCTCTTGGCTTAATCACAATCTTTGGGTCATCTCCTGCTCCATCAGGTAACTTTAAGATGAACTTTCTACTCTCAGGTTTGTGTGTAGAAGAGACTAGTTCTACTTCTTCCCCATCAACAGTGGTGATCAGCTTTGAGCTATCAAAAATAACATCTGAGAAATGAATGGATACCTCCTTTTTAGTTAGGTCAACCTTCTGATCTAGGATATAAATCGGGATTAGAAGAGATACTAACCAACGATGATAATTCCAAGGACTCTGGTCATTAGGCTCAGTAAATAAAGCATGCTTGATCTTGTCCAACTCTTTATGAATCAAGTCTAGAGGCACTTTGTAAGGAGAATTGCTGTCTTTATGAATTTTAAGCATTAGTTTACTTCTATAATGCCAAGCAGAGAAGTTAGAGAAGTTCTTTTCTGCCATTTTAGTAGTCATATCAAATTCTTCATTTAGCTTTCTGAGCTTCATTTCTTCAGCATTATATGCTTCCTCTTTCGTTTCTTCTTCAGTGGTTTCAGTTTCTCCTTCTCCTTCTTTGGCAGACTCTTTTGATTTGAGCTTTGCTTTCATCAGAACAGCCTTTTCAATTTCATCGTATTGGGACAGCTGAGTGTTAACCACCCAACTTCTGTAGTTCCAGCAATGGAAGTTTCTTTCATCAGCTGTTAGCATTTTATCACAAAGCTTAATTTCATTATTAAGGATACCCCCTCCTACAGGCTTAAGTTGCTCCTCTGTCATAAACTTTTCAATTTTTAGGCCTTCAAGGATGACCCACTGACGGTGTCCCCACAATGTATAACTTTTAGGATTTTCTTTCATCAATTTAACCAGCCCCATTAATTCTGTAAGGAAGAATTTGTACTGCTCATCTGGTTTCTTTTCTTTATTCAAATGTGTAATAATCTCCCTCCTGTAGTTCCAAATTGTATCGAAATCTGGTGATAAAGCAGCCATTTTCATTGTCATTTCAAGTGTTTTCTCAGTATATTCCTTAGCTTTTCTCTTTTCAAGGAATCCCTTATTAATCTTTTCAACTTTCTTAAGCTTAGCATTCGCTTTATCAAGCTCTTCCTGAGTCATCTCCCTCCTTTGACTTCTTTTCCGTCCGTGAATCATGCTTGTACAAATCTTTTATTCAATAAATTACTTTTTTCTCGGGGTTTTGGGGTTTTGGGGTTTTGGGGTTTTGGGG